GTTGAATCTGATGATTATGTGCCTTGGGGTTGCTCTTCTTGCAGAATATCTTTGTGGTGTTCTCTGTATTTCCTGCATTTGATGTTGGCCTGTCTTGCTAGGTGGGGGAAATTTTCCTGGATGATGTCCTGAAGAGTATTTTCCAGCTTGGATTCATTCTCTTTGTCCCCTTCTGGTACACCTATCAAACGTAGGTTAGGTCTTTTGACATAGTCCCACATTTCTTGGAGACTTTGTTCATTCCTTTTTGCGCTTTTTTCTCTAATCTTGGTTTCTCATTTTATTTCATTGAGTTGGTCTTCGACTTCAGATATTCTTTCTTCTGCTTGGTCAATTCGGCTATTGAAACTTGTGCATGCTTCGTGAAGTTCTCGTATTGTGTTTTTCAGCTCCTATAATTCATTCATATTCCTCTCTAAGTTATCCATTCTTGTTATCATTTCCTCATATCTTTTTTCAAGTTCCTTAGTTTCTTTGCATTGATTTAATACATGTTCTTTTAGCTCACAAAAGTTTCTCATTATCCACCTTCTGAAGTCTAATTCCATCATTTTGTCACAGTCATTCTCCGTCCAGCTTTGTTCCCTTGCTGGTGATGAGTTTTGGTCCTTTCTAGGAGGCGAGGTGTTCTGGTTTTGGGTGTTTTCCTCCTTTTTTCGCTGGTTTCTTCCCATCTTTGTGGATTTATCTGCTTGTCATCTGCGTAGTTGCTGACTTTTCGATTGGGTCTCTGAGTGGACACCCAGATTGTTGATGATGAAGTATTTCTGTTACTTGGTTTTCCTTCTACCAGTCTAGCCCCTTCGCTGTACGACTGCTGAGGTCCACTCCAGGCCCTGCTTGTCTGGGGTGCACCTCTAGCAGCTGTGTCACAGTGAGGGATGCTACCAGTTTCTTTTTCTTCTATCTTTGTCCCAGTATGATGCCTGCCAAATGTCAGTCTTTTGGATATAGAGGGGTCAGGGAGCTGCTTGAGGAGACAGTCTGTACTTTATAGGAGCTCAATTGCTGAGCTGTGAGCTCTGTTGTTCATTCAGGGCTGTTAGGCTGCTATGCTTGATTCTGCTGCAACAGAGCTCATTAAAAAAACCCTTTTTTTCTCAAATGCTCTGTGTTGGGGGGTTTGGGCTTTATTTTTGGATGTTCGTTGAGGTGTCCTGCCCAGCTAGGAGGCAGACTAGCCACTGTTTGCCTGCCAAGGCTCCGCCCTGCTGTTGTGTGGTTCGCCCTGTTGCTGCAGGCTCTGCTGTTCTGCTGTGGTCTCCACCACGCCCTGCGGTGGAGTCTCTGTTGTAGCAGGTTGTCTCAGCAATAGCAGGCTGCATCAACAGTGGGCGTGTATCTCAGTAGGGACGAGTATCCTCGGCAATGGCTGGCTGCATCAGCAGTGGGCATGTATCTCAGTTGGGGCGGGTTGCCTCGGTAATGGTGGACGCCCCTCCCCCACAGAGCGTCTCGGACCGACTGCACAGGGATTGTTTGAAATCGCGGTTTTGTTCGTCCCACTGGGCTAGCCCAAACGCTCTGTCCCTGCAATCCCCTGGGCTGGCCCACTGTCCAAGTCTCGTTCAGTCTCAAGTCCAGCCCTCTCAAGTCTCAGGTTGCCGGTTCAACAGGGCACCCGGACAAGCGCGCCCTGTGGGGAGCGCTGGGTGGGGCCGGCCGCCACCACCCCGGCTGCCAGCTTCGCCGGGCAGAGGTACTGCCTGGCATCCCGCGTCTTTTTTATACTTGGGAGTTTCCCCGTTCTGTGGGCAACAAAGATCAGTCTGGAAATGCAGCTCTGACTCACCTCTCCACGGATTCAACGAGCGAGATGGAGTCTTATAAAAGCCACCCAGAAAGCCAAAAATCCTGTTTACCTCTATATTTAGCCTTTTGTTTCCTGCTTTTTCTTTTTTAAATTGAGGCATAACTTGCACAGAGTAAGCTGTACAAATATTAAGTGTGCAGATGGTGAATTCTTCATACATACACACCCATGGATTCGTTATTCCAACCAAGATCTAGAATAGTCCAGCATTCAGTAAGCCTCTTTGTGTTTTCCAATTCCATAACTCTATCCACACCCTAGACAAGGTAACCACTACTCTGATCTCTTACTCTGTAGATTAGTTTTGTCTGATTCAAAATCTTATGTCAATAGAATCATACAGTGCAGTGCATATATTTTGTTGTCTGGCTTCTTTGGCTCAACATTTTTTGAGATTAATTCAAGTGGCTGTGTGTAGCAATTGTTTTGTTTGTTTTTTTTAAATTATTGAATTGCTGAGTAGTCTTTCAATGAATGCATAATTTCCCCATTTGACTATTGCTGGACATTCAGTTGTTTCAAGTTTGGGCAGTTATGGACATTTTTGCACATGTCTTTTGGTGGACATGTCTTTGGGTTTAGATGTAGGAGTGGAATTGGTGGGTCTATACTTCTTTAAGCCAGGCTCTTTTGTCTTCTGATGCAGCCTTCACAAAATGCTGGCACATCTCAACCAGAATTTTCCAATGTGATAAGGCAGATGTGGTTATCTACCTTTTGGCAGGCTTTTTGCCTGCAGGAATCCTTCATATGGCTTTTCTTTAAGTTCATTTCATGAGTTTCTGTCAAGATCATTTAGCTGTTTGATTCTGAGTCTGTGGTCATGATGGTGCCACAGAAAATGTCACAGGATCTTTAGGGTGTCACTTCACCAGCTGGAAACCTCTGTGGCCAGTAGTACCTTCGCCCAAGTTTTCCTCGGGACAGCTGGGCTCATTCCACCCACTTGGCCCGGCAGGCTGCAGTCAGCTGGAGCTACCAGCCAGATCCCACATTTACCAACGCCAAGCCACGTGCAGAGTGGCAAGGGATGTATGAGTGAGCACAGGTTCCAGCCCTGTGCACAGCCAGGCGTGCTGGCTGCAGTGGTGAGGGCAGCTCCAGGCACCCACCTCTGTTCAAGGCTGATGGTGTACCAGGCATACTGTAAGCAGTATGCTTCCATTGTGGACACCGGGAAATGTGGTGGTGCCCAGAATCTTGGAGACACCAGAAACCACAGAGCCCTAAAGAGGGTGTCACAACACTGGCCTGGGGAGCCCCGGGTCTGAACTCCTCGAAGGGCCATAGCTCTTCTCTCATGATCGACAGTGGGTGGGGGGGGGTGTGTGTTTCAGCCTTGTTTGTGTTACAGCTCTTTCAGTCTCTCCATTTGGCAGGTCCCAAGTTTTTGTCTCATGTCCAGGAAGAATGAAGTGCCTGGACAATTGGAGGGTGAGCAAGGTGGAAAGGAGCTTCATTGAGTGACAGAACAGCTCTCAGGAGACAGAGTGGGTAACTCCTTTCCACAGGAGGTCATCCTGGCAGGTGGGAGAGGAGACCCATGGTGGGTAGCTTGTACGTGTAGGCAGGTCATCCTGAAGAGTCAAGGAGACTGAAGTGGGTAGCTCCTTCCCACAGCTGTTAGTCCTGACTTCTGTCTGAGTCTGGCTGAGTCCAGAGTTTTAATGGGCTCAGAAGCGGGGAAGCTGATTGGTTCATGGGCAGCCATGGGAGGGCCTGGAAAAAGCACCATAAGTTCTCACTCTGAGCAGCCTGGCAGCCTGACCTCAGGCTTCAGGCTGTTCATGGCTTCAAGGTGTACCTGGCTAGGGATCCGTCCCTTTCTGGCCAGGAACCTGCCTACCTCTCACCATCAACATGCCATCCATGGCACCTAGGCTGTTTGCACCAAGGGGCACAGGCCTGCGCTGAGCCACCCTCAGTGCCCCCAGCCTCCTTCTGGCACTGTTGGTGCCCAAAGTCCGGAGGGGGCTGAGGCAGGGGGTGGGATTCGGGTCTGGCATGTCAGTGCCACCCTGAGCACCCACCTCCTCAACCAGATTGCAACAGTGTCGGGGCTTAGCCACAACTTTGCTCCAAAATCAGAGCAGGCACCGGGAGTGGGGAGAGTCCAGGGAGCAGGAGCAGACATTTCAGAGCCTGCAAGGGCAAGGAGGGCTTCCTGGCCCTCAGAGCAGAGGGATGCCTGGGTCCAGAGCTGCTGCTTGTTGCTGCAGAGCCGCCTGAGAGTGCAGGGCTCCCACCTGTTGCTGGCCCTGGGTGGCTCCATAGAGCACGGAGCCCCGGCTGCGCCTCCCCTGCTGCAGCTGTGTCCCCCCAGCGGCTGCTCCAGATGGGCTGCTGCCACCATCAATAGGCCAGAACAATTTAAAATCTCAATCTGAAGGGCTCCTGCCATTGGAACTTCATCAGACACCATGATAAATCATCTCTAAAGTAATAATCTGAGCCAGTAAGAAAATATTATTCTACTCATTTAAATCACTGAGTTACAGACACATTTCACAGAAATGTGTTTTTCTAATTACAATTATCATAAGATAATTGCTTTGGCTGTTTCTATGAAATGCTGTAGCTATTCCTGATGTATTATTTATTCATTGGTTTATTGCCAGGGGTAATATTGACTGTTCGCTCTATCCCTGTCATGGGAGGCTTTCTGACATAACTGTGTAGTGTTTTTTTCCCTGTCTACAGGAACACAGAGGGTTAATAAGCTGTGGCCATTAGACAACATTCACCACGTTCTGTGTGCCATTTTCCCAAAAGATAAGTTACACCGAAAGAAGAAAGGTATAATCTCTGCAAATTCGCTTGCTAAAAATATCCTTCTCTAGAAAGGATATTTGCTTGTTGTTTTCATGTTTCTCCTTCGAAAGAATTTACAAACATTTCCCTTAATTCCCCGCACGAGACTAGAAAATTTCAGCTTCTTCCCCAGGCAAGGGAAAAATTACAGTTAGAACATCTTTCACATTTGATATAATGGACCACTTCTCCCCTAGACCATAGAGGGCCCCCCTCTCTGCTCTTAAGAATTCAAGAGGCTTACTAGTCTCAGAGGCTGGGATCACCCAGATGGAGATGAAGTGAGCTTTCAGCAGAGAGAGGGAAGCACCTGGGAAATACCTGGATTCTGCTTTGAGCGGAAATGCAGAGACAACCATATGTTTTGGACACCCACCTCTCAGTGTCCTGGAGTCCTAAGACATCCTGCTTGTTGTGAGGAAAAGTGCCCCCACAAAAGGGGAGGTAGCACCCAAATTTGGCTAAATCCTGAAACAGAATTAAATGACCACATTGAATCTCATAAGTCTTTGAGGAAGATGTCATCATTACCCAATTAAAAATTTTATTTTTTTACTTTACTTTTATTTTATTTTTGAGACAGAGTTCTGCTTTGTTTCCCAGGTTGGAATGCAGTGGCGCAATCTCAGCTCACTGCAACCTCTGGTTACCATGTTCAACCATGTTCAAGTGATTCTCCTGACTCAGCCTCCTGAGTAGCTGAGACTACAGGCATGCACCACCATACTCCACTAATTTTTTGTATTTTTAGTAGAGACAGGGGTTTCACTATGTTGGCCAGGCTGATCTTGAACTCCTGACCTCAAGTGATCTGCCCACCTTGGCCTCCCAAAGAGCTGGAATTACAGGTGTGAGCCAAAGCACCTGGCCCCAATTCAGAATTTTAAACTGAGGCTCAGAGAGGCTGAGTGTCCTGACTAAGGCCACACATCTTCTAAGTGATAGAATAGGGATTTGAATCCAGGCAGCTAAACTCCAACCTGAGGGTCTAAGAAAGAGTGGGCTCCAATTCAGGGTGTCATCTTCCCATCCTCCACTCCACCTTTTCAAGCCTCATCTGAAAATAACATGCAAGATCACCTTTACCACACAGAGGAGATGAAGAAACAAATAAATATAGGGGAGGAGGAAATGGAAAATAGAACTCCCACTGGGGTCTGGCTATTAATGTGTCTGCCTTGTTCTGACACTTGAATAGGTCTGGTTCTGAGTCTGCTATTGAAAGGAACCAAAAATGACCTTGAATTGAAACTCCTGCATAGGAAGGTGCTGTGATGAGCTCAGAGAGACCACAGCACAACTCTGCAAGGGCGTTCAGCACATCGTCACGGTTGCTTCCAGTCGGCCAGGGGGATGCTGACGAGGTGCTTTCCAGATCTAATGAAACTACCTGACTGCCAACGCCAAAGTTGGGTTTTCCTCTCTGTAGGATGGAGAGGATGGAAGATGAGGTGGTCTTTCCAAGGGGGAGCCTGTTTCATCAACAGCTTCTTTAGATGTGTTGACTTTATGGAAGAAGAATCCCAGCTAACAGGAAAATAGAGAGGGGTTTTCTTCAGTAAATACCAGTGTCAGCCAGTCCCTTATCTCTTTGATCTCATCTCCCATTGTTCTCTCTGCTTTCTCTGCTTCAGCCACACTAGCTTCTTACTGTCCCTGGAAAACGCCAGGCATACTTCTGCCTCAGGGCCTTTGCATGTGCTCTTGCTGCTGCCTGCAAACTTTCCCCCAGATAGTCCCATGGCTCTATGCCTTTCCGCAAATGCCCTCTTCTGAGTGAGACCTTCCCTAGTTACCTGTTCTAGCAACAATCGCATTATGAACTCCACCCACCTTAACATGCACACGCACATTCCCATTCCCCTTCCAGCTTAGTTTTCTGGTTAGCACACTCCACCTTATAGTCTCCGATGCATATTACTGACTTACCTTGTTTTTGACTGTCTCCCTTAGCTGAGGGTAAGCTCCATGCAGGCAAGGAGTTTTGTCTGTTTGATTGCTCTCTGTATTCCAGCACCTAGAATAATCAGTAACCAGTACTCAATAACAACATGTTGAACCGGGCACGGTAGCCCACGCCTGTAATCCCAGCACTTTGGGAGGCCGAGGCGGGCAGACCTGAGGTCAGGAGTTGGAGACCAGCCTAGTCAACATGGTAAAACCCTGTCTCTACTACAAATACAAAAATTAGTCAGGCGCACACCTGTAATCTCAACTACTTGGGAGGTTGAGACAGGATAATTGCTTGAACCTAGGAGATGGAGGTTGCAGTGAGCTGAGATCATGCCACTTTACTCCAGTCTGGGTGACAAGAGTAAGACTCTGTCTCGAAAAAAAACCTATGTTGAATGCACAGATGAATGAATTTATTAATCCTAGTTCTGCCATTTAGTAACCAGGCAGGCTTTAGAACGTTAACTTCCTTTCTAAGCCTCATTTCTGCAACTGTAAAGTTAGAATGAGTATTCCATATTCTCTTTGTGAGTTGTGCATTTTCAACAGGATTACAAAAGGATGCACGTGGTACAGTACTCACATGGACTCGGTAAGAATTGGTTTAGTGATTTACATTGTGGGTTCAATGAAAGAATTACCAATAATAGTAGCAAGCATTTGTAGAGTATGTCTATGAGCCAGGCACTGCTCTAAGCATGTATGTTTATTAACCCGTTTAATCTTTACAACATCCTGAAATGTATGTGCTATTATCATCATCATCCTAGCTTTAGACATAAACTGCAGGGGTAACTTTCTCAAGGCCACATGACTAATAAATCATAGACCCTGGATTGGAACTTGGGTCCATCTGTCTCCATGTCTTACCCACTTCAGCATACTGCTTCCACATAGCAAGAAGACATAATTTATGTAACAGAGGCACAGGAAATTCCATTTAAGTCATCAAACCTCTATTTACAAATTTTAGTTTTTAAACTTTGAGATGCCTTCTTGGATCAAATGTGATGATAATTCAATTTCTAAATCAATTGAAACATTTAGATGGAGATCAAATTGTATTTAGCTCCAAGCCACAAAATATCTTTGGCCATGAAATGCTACCATTAAGGAGATATTTGTAAACTGTGTTTTATTTAGACACACTCTGTATAAACATATATAAGACAGTTTTAAAGACAGCAGTATCATTTAGTTCCCAAAGCTGAGTGGAAATAAAAACCAGAGCCATGTAGACACACCCTAAACCTAGCACCTGCTTTTGAGGCTGCTTCAAATATTATCATCCTGTTTTTTTCTTGTGAATTGGCTTCGATCACTTGTGATTCCTGTGCATCTAGCATATCTCATAACCGGCAGTCATTCATAGTCTATTTTAAGTGTGAGCATTAAAATGCTAGGTTTCGTTCATGAGCAAAAACTCAGTGAGGCCGTCTTCTCCATTCTCGGAGCTGGCTCTACAAGTCACTGCACACTCAACAGGGAGGTGCATACACACAAACTTTCCAAATCGTCTTTAAAAGTTTTCAGTTCCCTTTTTTCTTTTTTTGGTTTCTATTGCCTTCCCAGTAATGGCTAAAACATTGCCAGTTTGTCTTGCTTCTTGTGATTTCTCCAGAAGGCCTTATGGCCCAGGAGATAAATTGGGACCAGGTGTTAATATCCCACTGATTTTAATCTGGCTTTTATGTTTTCTTGCAAGGAACAGACATCTCTTCAAGCCAACTCAAGACAAAGGGGTTTAACATATTGCATTATATTACATTATTTTTAAATGATAAATCTAAGAACAGGAGCCATATCAGATCCTGGCCTCAAGGAATCCAGAACTCAAAGGTGCTTCTAGATTCAAGGAAGCTCCCAAGTCTTTCACAGTAGGAGTTCATGGCTGTTTGATTTCTATGGTTAAGCAACAAATGCCATGTCTTCTTCTGCTCCTAATACTAACTGATGGTTATTTGTTTGTTTCAAGGTTAGGGCACTAAGAGAGAATCTGATTGGTCCAGTCCATCTTTCTAAATAGTCTGTAACTCCCTCTTCAGCATATGGGTTGTCTGCCATTGGCTCAGGTGCACCAGCCAGGGCCAATCATCTCTGGATAGAGGAAGTGGGACACTCGGTACTGAGTGTGGCTTCCTGGGTCTGTCCCTTCAGCAGAAAGTGTGGGCAGGATGGGTCCCCTCAGAAGAGGCTGTAAGTGGGTTGGCACAGTATTGACCTTTCCACAGTACCATTGTGCAAGACGCTGATGTCATATAGCCAAGACATATAGTGGTCTATCAAGGTAAGATGATATTATATTGATGAGGATATAAATGCAACTCAGAAAAAGATCTACAAAGCCACATGCATGTATCTTTGCAATTTGCATGTTTAAAACATAAAACAAATAGCATTATTTCTTTGTGACACGTTTTATCTAAAAATATTTATTCTTTTGCCCAAGTTTAGCTGTCAAAGCTCCACGGCTTTCTCAGGCAGGGCCTCCCAGTTTTGGTGAGCAGACTGCATTCAGCACAATTTCAACCCATGCCATTCATAGAGATTACAGTGGGATGACTAAACTGAAGCCACATTCACCATTGCAGTTGCCAGCTAGTTATTGAGGTTTTGTTGTGATTGAACTAGTCAAAACCTATTGATTTGTTATTACCGTTGACTCAGTGTCTGCAATGCTGTGGGCTACAGCTTTAAACAAAGGCAGGATTAATGCCCACATGACTTCAGAGGTCTCTTGTGTCAAATGTGTTATGCGCATTGCGTTATTGATCTCTCCTTTAAGGACTGGCCCCCTTCCACCCAGTGTCCCTGTAGAACAAAGGCTCTATGATGGGATATTTTGATGGAGGCAGGAATGTTAAGGAGCATGAGTTGAGATCCAGGTCTGGATACCTTGCTGCAATGTGTGTGAAGATTGTGGTGGGGGAGGGGGAGAGGAGCTGCTGATCTAAAGGCAGAAAGCATGGCAAACTTGGCCTGCATGACAGTTCTAGTGAATGAAAACACCTAGACAAAGACCAAATACTTGGATTCAAGGTAATCGTCTTAAGAATATTCACTACTGATGGTGGCGTCGGTGATCGGCATTTGTATGAACTGCAGTCTCTATTTTTTGAGTTCTCAGCAGAAACCAGTCGCTCTTGTTACCTGGGGTACACAGCCTTCTAGGCATGTTTTTCTTGTGCCCCACATCACTTTCTGTCTTTATTTTTAAAATATCTACCTGCTTTTTCTTCACCCTTGAATGAAAATTTCTTTGAAGACAAGATCAATGTCTGATTCATCCTGGTGTTCCCACCATGGCTCGGAATGTGCCAGGCATTTAATAAATATTCGTTGGATGAATGAGAGTAAGAACCTAATTGCCTTTTGAGTCACCAAATTGACCATGATCCAAATTGTGCTCTCTGCTCAGTGACAGTATTTGGCATAGGGGAATGTCTGAGATGACATCATTGCCAATCGAAGCTAATTTCGGGTCAAGTTTAACTTTGCAAATATCTCTAATGTAGTTACTGTGAAAACACCATCCATACATCTTGTAATTTGTGAAAGCGTGTACAGGCTCCCTGGATTATCACAACAAAGATGGAATTCCTAGGGACAGATCAGGAAAGTTCTTTGAGTGAAGAGAAAGAGAAAGAGGAAGATGTCAAAGAGGAGGAAGAAGAATAGGAGATGAAGATAATAGCTGGCATTTGTTGACAGTTTATTACGTGCCAGGCCTTGTCATGAGCATTTTGTATGTATTAACTCATTTAATACTCACAGAAGCCCTATGGAGAAGGTACTGTCATCCCGTTTTGCAGATGAGTCCAGTGCAAAATAAGGCGGGTTCCCTTTCAGTCCACACAATCTGTTTTGCAGGACTCCTGGGACTTACTTCTCCCGGGGTCTTCCTCTCTCCCTCTATTTCTGTTCCTTGTTCTTCTAAGGAAGCCTTCGGTAGTCAAGGTGATCATTTTTTGTGATTTAATCTTAGAAGGCCATGCTGGCTCTTTACTGGCCTCTTGGAGGTAAGCCTAGATCTTCAATATTTTTCAAAATAAGAGTGTCTGTAAAATGGAGAAATCCATTTCTTGCTGATATTTAGTGCTCTGAGAGCATAACACTGAAGCAGTATTATTTTCAAAACAAAACAGAATCCTCCTTCACAGGTTTGAGAATGGGAAGAGATGAAGGGAGAGGAGGGGTCAGACAGCCCCGACCTGCCACAGCTGTCTGAGTAATCACTCTGACAGTCACTGTGTCTGTTTGGGCAGACCCATTCTTCCAGTCTCACCAGATGAAGACATTCACTGCCTTAAATCTGCTCTGACTTTCAAAGACACTACTTTAAAAGCTTCAGTATTACTTGGCTAAACAATTCTCACTTCCCAGGAAGGTATCCTTAGTTCCCATCTGTTTTGATTGTTGACATTTTGGTTTGGCAATAGGAAAAGCCTCCTCATCAGAAGCTGGAGCCCATCCCTAAGGCAGAGAAGCTAAGTCAATGGCAGAAAGGGTGGATTTGTTCCTAACAGACTAAAAAAAAAGTTACCCTTCCAGGAACTTAGGTATCCTGTGTCCAAACTGCACAGGCAGGAGCAGAGATTACATAATTCTTCAGATATTTTTAATATACTTCACCAAAGTGGAGAATTGAGATGGTATCCAGGGTTCTGGTTTGGCAACACAAATACTTGATATTAGCCAGGGTTCTCCAGAGGGACAGAACCAATAGAATGTATATGTAAAGGAGAGTTTCTTTGGGAGAATTGGCTCACATGATTACAATACGAAGCCCCATGATAGGCTGTTTCTGGAAGCTGGAGAAAAGAGAAGCCAGTAGCGGCTCAGTCCAAGTCCAAAAGCCTGAAAACCAGGGAAGCCAACAGTGCAGCCTTCAGTCTGTGGCTGGAGGCCAGAGAGCCCCCTGGCAAACCACCGGAGCAAGTTCCAGAGCCCAAAGGCTAAAAAACCTGGAGTCTGATGTCCGAGGGCAGGAGGAGTGGAAGGAAGCATCCAGCACTGGAAAAAGAAGGAAGCTAGAAGGTTTGGCAAGCAATGTGATCCCACTTTCTTCCACCTGCTTTGTTCTAACTGCACTAGCAGCCAATTGAATGGTGCCTGCCCACATTGAGGGTGGGTCTTCCTTTCCCAGTCCACCAACTCAAATGTCAGTCTCCTCTGGCAACACCCTCACAGACACACCTAGAAACAATACTTCACCAGTCATCTAGGCATCCTTCAATCCAGCCACGTTGACACCTAATATCAAACATCACAAATTCACCCCTTGTCAACCTGTCACCTATATATATCTCCTGAAATCATACTGAATTTCCAAATAAAGACAACAATAAGGTCATGATTACACCTAACATAATACAACTATCCTTAGTACAACGAGAAGTGCACTAATTCTTAACCTAAATGCTATTACATAAAGCATTGGCACTCAATAAATACTTGTGGAATGAATGAATGAATAGAAAAAGTCTAGAAAGGTATCAAACATAAATGTTGAGAGTAATTATTCTCTTTAAATAGCTGCATGATCTGATTTTTCTATTATAAATATGTATTAGTTTTATAATAGTTTTAAAAATATAACTTCAATTTTCCAGGAACCTACTGATTTGCAGCTGAAGTGAGGGCAGAGATCGAGCTGGGTTTTGCCAGCTTTAATATAGCCAAGCTCAGCCTTTTTGCGTATGGTACAGCAGCAGCCCCTGTGGTAAGTTCCTGGAAGACTGGGCCCTTTTCAGGATCTAGATCAAGTCAATACTTTCTGGCCGATGGGGAAGTAACTGCTTTGTTCTCTGAGCAAAGGGCTTCTTAAAAATCACAAGATGTTAGAGGTTGCCTTGCCCAATTTTCTTAGTTTCCAGATGAAGAAACTGAGTCCAAAGAGGTGGTTGGCCTTGAGAAAGTCAGTCATGATACTGGTATTAGAATGCAAGTCTTGTAACTTTGAACACATTTCCGCACTGGCACAGCCAGAGACCCAGAGAGAAACTAGTGGCATCCTCACCTGGTTCATTAAGGAAAATTTAATAAAGGGACATGTTAAAAGGTGTGGGCAGAGTTTGGAAGACCAGCAAAGAAAGTAAAGTACTCCAGGTTGTGCAAAAATGGAGAGATGTTACCGCCTGAGGCCCAGGCAGGTAAGCATGGGGGCTGTTAGATAACCCTAAAGAGCAGGAGGTGGCAGACAGATAGGCACTGGGGCCTTCCATTGGGACACAGCCAATCTGCAGAGACCCAGTAGCAAAGGCAAGAGCCGGGGAATAAACAGCCCAATCTCATTCTTTTCCCAACCAGAATCCAAAGGCCAAGGGAGCATGTCGATGCAGCTCAGAAAGATGGGTGTCCCAGGGCACAGAGCATAGTAATGAATGGCAGAGAGGGGATCTGGAGGAGCCTGTTAATGTATCCAGCACACTTGCCTTCTGGAAGATCAACCTAGTCCTATCATTGCCTTTTGCTGTTTGCCCTTTGATTTGATTTGGCTTCAAGTCAGTAATAATCTGGACAATTGAGGTTGGATTTTGAAAACTATTATTAAAAAAGAATACGTATTTATAATGGAAAAACTATAACATGCAGTGATTTTAAAAATGTTCATGACTTTCAGCATTTATGATTGATACCTTTTGAGATGTTTTCTATTAGTTCATCCAGTCATTGCTGCCATAAATATTTACTGAATGCCAATGCGTGCCAGGCTGTTTCAGACATGTGGATATAGGAGAAAATAAGATAGACAAACTTTCTTTTTTTTCTTTCCCTCAAGGAGCTAATGTTCTAGTGGGGGAAGAGTCACAATAGACAGCATAACCACAATGATAGAATGTGAGACAGCAATGAAATTGCAAGAAGAAAATGAAAGCAGGGCCAAGAAATAAAGGTGTCATGGGGAGTTATAATTTTAGATCAGGTGGTCAGGGAAGTGTGTGTGTGTGTGTGTGTGTGTGTGTGTGTGTGTGTGTGTGTAGATAGCAAGAGAGGTCACCAGCATGCAATGGCTGCCCTTTGGGCTTTTCCTTGGCTAATTGCTGAGTGTTCAGGTAACAGGGAGTGTAGGTGGTGTGACTTCCCCCCTCCCTCGCAGTTTCAAAATGTCTCTCTTTAAATTTTTTTTAAAGGGCAAAGCTTTCTCCACTCCATACATTAACCACTTAAAAAGTGCCGTGGGGAATCCTCAGCATAAGTTTATTAGCCAAATTCTTGGTGTATATCTGTCCTGTTATAGCTGGGTGACTTGGGGAAAGTCATTTGACCTCTCTGGGCCTCAGCTTCCTCATTTGTAAAATTGAGGATTTTGGTGACAATTAAAGGAAATAAGATTAGATCTGTGGGGGCCCTAGTGGCCAGGACATAGCTCATACCCTATAGATAAGAGTTTCTTTCCTTCTCTGGGTAGGTGTGTTCTGGTAATATTATGGACCCCAGATCCACAGAATGGGGAATTGACTGAACAGCCTATTAATAATAATAGCTGGTGTCAATTGGCTACCTATATGCTGGGCAAACCCTTTACCTGTGTGAGCTCATTAAATCTCCACATTTTCAGATAAGAAAATGCAAGCACAGAGCCTCCTTGCACAGGTGATAGGTTGCAGAAGCCAGGCTCAAGTCCTAGTTTGACTGACATCAAAGCCTGTGCATGCTTGATCAAAGCTCTGTGCACCTTCTCTTCCTTGCCTTGACCTAGCCCTGTCAGGAAGAGTCAAGGTTGGACAGAGCCACAGTATAGAGAGGGATTTTCTCATA